AAAGGCTTATGTTCAGCAGTGGATAGTTAACGGCTGAAGTTATATAATAAATCCATTATATAATAAATATGGGATCAACACGATACAATCAAATTTAAGAACCTAATCCTTAAGTTGGGGGGAAAGGGATTGTTAACAACGGAGTTTAACAGCCCCATAGCTAACAATAAGCCCTATTAGGTCGCCCTCCACGTGGTTCCCCCTGGAAACCATCGTGAACGATTCTTGTTGAATTCGTCACGATGGGCCAACTGACCTGCTTCATCCTCACCTATCATCCTTCACTGGTGCCCCGTCGATGTATAGCGATAGCGCGGGTGGGATTACCATTCCATTATCACCCACTAAAAATAAATAAAAGAAATACTTAAAGTGAAAAACCCGTTTAATATTAAATAGACGAACCAAGCTATAACTATTTAAATTCACACACGATACCAAAAATAAATAGTGAAATATGAGTATATTATACAATGTGATTCATCACCAGGAAGGGTGACATCACCATGTACATTGTTACGGATTCAAAAAGGTACCGAAAACGCCATCGGCCACCGACCACCCGCCACCGGTCTGGTCAGCGACAGAAATAGTTCACGAATTTCTAACTATCTACTTACCACGTCGCTACTACTGTAGCAGAGAAATACATATTTGACGTGACACAGAGTATATTTAGCAGTAGATTCAGTTTATTTTATTACAAGCGATGCGACCCGGCTTTGCACGGGTAGATGGAATTTTCAAAAACAATATACGTTACTCGCTAATAATCTATTTTTTTTTTTTGTAAATATAGTATTTTTTGTGTTTATCATTTACAAACAATTATGGCAAATGGTAAACCCCCCCCCCCCCAAGGGGGAGGCTTATTTTCAGCGGTGGACATTTAAAGGCTGATGAAATGATGGTGATTTAAGTTTTGAAATTTTTTTTTGTCCCATTTCTCTTAAAGATTGCAACAACATTTAAAACAATTTCGACGAAGTTTAAATTACTAGCCATGTCACCAGCGTAGTGATAAATACTTGGAATGATCGTCATATAATATAAATAAACTATTTCGGCGAAATAACCGTGCTAGCTACGTGTGAACCAGCGCTAAGGGATTTTTATACGAGTACATGAAGTCTCATAACATTAATGTTCTCAAGGGCTTAAAATAAATATGATGGCGATAAAATATCAAACGCTTTTGAAAAAATTGCAATCCAACTTTTTTTACTTTATTTTTCGACACACATTAATTTAGTGTGGATACACTGTTATCTGCCATTCTGTGGTCGGTTGACACATCATTATTCCACTCCTGTCTTATCAACCGACACGCTGTCTTTCCTCGATGCTCGTCATTATCATTCAGCGCTACGCGCGCAGAGCCGCGGTACTCGACTAGCACTTTGTATGATAATTTATAACGTAATTGTAATACGAATGAGTGTGCGACGTACAGAGTTTTAATCGCTAAAACATTGGACACTTTGCGAACAGCCTTATGTTAAGGCACAGATAATGTAATACCATAGTTGAGTTCTTTATATTGTGATTTGTGTAATGTGGACTACCAGTCCCATTGCTAGCAATATACCCTGTCAGGACGACCTCCACGTGGTCCCACCTGGAAACCATCGTGCTGAGTGTTTCCAGGTGTATTCATCACGATGGGCTAACTGACCTGTCTTTACATTATCTGCTACCATCCCTCACTGTTAGTTACCGCAGGCGCGGTTAGCATTCCATAAGCACTCTTTAAAAAAATAGTAAGAGGATATCGTCTCGACACACGCAGTCCTCTGGAAACAGTTGTGATTAAAACCACTTGAATTCGCCATGACTGATCAATTGACCTAACTTCATCCTCATCTCTGAACTCATCTCTTCCTGATCCTCTTCATCATTCTCTTCCTGATGAATTCATCATGATGGGCTAACAGGCCTGTTTTCATGCTCATCGATCACCCTTCACTGGTGCCCAGCCAGCGTATCCCATTAGCGCAGGCGGGGTTACCACTCCATTTTCATCCAATAAAAAAAAACTACCTTGTGCCCCGATGTATACCGATAGCGCGGGTGAGGTTACCATTCCATTACCATCCATTAAAAAAAAAACCTACCATAAAAGTAAAAAGGAATGATATTTTGAAAAATTTATAATTTTTAAACGGTATAAATTATATAATTTTAATATCAGATTTTGTTTATTTCGATCTCCAAAATTTCGAAAAATATTTCTTGGTAGGCCCTTTGGATATGTTCTCTGACCAGGATATAAATCTAAAAGCGTAAGGATGTAAGCCTATGTCCTTTTCCATCTCATATAGTACCTGTATGACAAATTTCATAGTAATTGGTTAAGCCATTAAGACGACAAGAGGTAACAAACTAACAAACTCACTTTCACATCTACACGAGTTGTAGCTAAGGATTCTAACTCATTTAGCGACGGAGACTTATTAACAAGAATCGCTGCAACGGCTGCCGCGGTGCGCGCGCGCATCTCAGTTTGTTTACCCCGAGCTCGTTGAGAGAGCGACTGCTCCCTAAATGGTGAAGCTAAACATTGTATCAACATTCAATCAGAAACAATTTTAAACCTATTTACTTTGGGCTAGTGTTCCCTCCCGACGGCGCGCGGCCAAGTTAACAACTTATAAACACGTCAGTAAAGTTGTGACGCTGGTGTTTTTAAACAAAACCAGCGACTCGCATTGGTTGGAAAGGAAAATTGGTATTTTATAGTAGATTTAATAGACAAATATTTGCTAATGTCTAGTAGGTAATAACTTGTATCTAGTTAATTACTGCGACTTTACTATAATTTTATTTTCACAATTATTTAGTAGTTATCCACGTCAAATACAGTTCGACAACATTTTATGCTGTTTTATCTAATATATATACTTATAAAATCGTTTGTCCTGATTGACTAACAATGCACAGATAAATCTACTAAATCTACAAAGAAATATGGATTAATTTTATAACGAAATCATCCACTATGGAAGGACTTTTTAAAAATGTCAACTTTATAAGATAAACGACACGCAAAGCCGCGGGCTACAAGTAATAAGTCATATAAAAATAACAATAAATATATAATATCGAAATTAATGAAGTTTACATGTAAATAAGTATCTAACTTAAACCACGCACTGCGCGACTGCGGCTCGCGACTATTTGCCTTCCAAACAAGCGCAGGCGCAGACCGGGAGCGTGCCGGCACTCGTTGGAGAGCGCCGATAAATCTTAATTGCCCCATTAAATTATCTTACACTTTGTATCTATAATACCTTTATTTTATTATACAACGTACGTTTACCCGCAAGTAGAGTAGATTGCGAGTAGAGATGGCATATCAAGACGAAACATATACAGGATTTTAAAACAGATTTTTAAGAATACACTTGTGAAATCGCATCTAATTTGTTGCAGTAATTCAATAATCTTTACGCGATGCTGAAATTAACATAAAGACAAACAGACAAAAATTCTAAGAATCATTAATTGAAAATTTTTTAAAATTAAAAAAAAAAAAGATTTTTTTATATTAGCTTTTACTCGCGACTACACCCGTGTGACCGGGATACGTTTACTGAGATAAAACGTAGCCTATACTGTTTTCCATCCTATATATTATATGTATACCAAATTCTATAATTCGGGGGGAAAGGGATTGTAAGTAATGGAGACTAAAAATCTTATACTGTGGTGTAATATCAATGAGTGGGGGAGGGGATTATTAGTAATGGGGTCTAACAGCAATATATCAAAACAGGTCGACTTCCACGTGGTTTCCCATGGAAATTATCGTAGTTAATTCTTATCGAATACGTTATGATGGGCTAACTGAGTTGCTCGGGGGGAAAGGGATTGTTAGTAATGGAGACTGGGAATCCCATTGCTAGCAATATACCCAACCAGGTCGACCTTCTCGCGGTTCTCCCTGGAAACTATCATGATTAATTCCTAATGAATTCATCATGATGGGCTAACTGGCCTGTTTTCATTCTCACCTATCACCCTTCACTGGTGCACCGCCAGCGTATCCCATTAGCGCAGGCGGGGTTACCATACCATTTTCACCCATCAAAAAATCTATAATTTAAATTTAAATCCTCTTTATTCAAATAAACTTGTTTACAAGCACTTTTATTTCGTAATTGTTTTTACAAGGCTATTGCAAGGTTCAGAAAGTTGTTATCTATTGAGAAGAGCCCACAAAAATCTCAACTGTTACTTTCTTTAAATCACTGTTAACATTATGTATATTTAGTTAAATGTTACATTACATTTTCATTAGAATTTACAATAACTATTACATGGTTATTAAAAAACACATGCTAGTTGGTGACTAGCTAAGCCATAAAGACACTGTAAGCTAACAAACAAACATACTTTTACATTCATATTATTCATATTCATCATCATTACATATCACCCGTTAATTGTTCACTGCTGAATATAGACCTTCGTCAAAAGAGAGATTTTGCCAGTAGTTGCCACGCTTGGCAAGCGAGTTGGCAACCGCAGTTGGATTTTAATAATGTTTTAAGAGGGACGCTACTACTCATCCCTTCTACGACTACTACTGGTCACTTCTTACAACACTTACTGGAAAGAAGGGGTTGCCCATTCTATGCCGGAATTACAAGGCATTAAGTAAAGATTGAGAGTGATAAAAAGCGAAAATTATGATACCAGACTTAAAATTGGCAAAACCAACTAATGTATAATGGGAGGAAAAAGATTGTTAGCAATGGAGTTTGACAGCCCCATTGCTAGCAATATACTTTATTAGGTCGACCTCCACTTGGTTCCCCCTGGAAACCATCGTGAACAATTCTTGTTAAATTCGTCACGATGGGCTAACTGACCTGCTTCATCCTCGCCTATCATCCCTCACTGGTGCCTCGCCAGTGTATACTGATAGCGCAGGTGGGGTTACCATTCCCATTATAATCCATTTAAAAAATACTAATGTATGATATTATTTGTTGCAGTGAATGGCTACGTGGAAGACAAACGGGAGTCGAATGAAGAATATGGCGACTTCTTGGGCGATGAACCCAACGATGACGACACGTTAAATGACGCCGATGGTGCGTAATAACCAATAAGCAATTATGTTAGACCGCAAGCGATAACAAAGCAAAAATGTAATGCGATACCACTTCTTTACTTGCCCACGATAAGATATCCTAAATACCAATTAAACTGGTGCAGGGTTTCTCAAACTTATGGCTCCACAGTCACTAAGTGAACTCCAAAGTAACTATCGATAGAACAAATAAGGTATTTCATTAAAAAAAAAAAGAAGTACAAAGGAGCAATAGATAAATGTTATTTAAAGAAAGAAAGAAAGAAATATTAATGTATTTAGTCAATTCAATGTGATGGGTGTGCTCGTATTTCATTGCAAATACAATCGATTCTCGGATAAACATTGCTCAATTTTAAACTTAATTCAGATTAAGCGTTCAGTTAATTCTTGTAATCCATTTTCTTTTGTGACGTAACCAAGTGTGAAAGCCCACTCTTATAAAAGCTATTTATTATTAAAAGCAAATAAATTTCTATTTCTATTCTATTTCATTACGTATCCCGTATCCTCTACGATTAACTGATGTACTTTAAATGGTATTTAAACGCCACTTTGAGAAACCTTGATGCTAGTGCAACAAAGCAAAATACACCAAGACAATAATAGAACTCGAATTAAAACGCTGACTCAGCATAATAGAAATATACTATGATTTAGAACTACGAGCCTACAAACTCCACGTGGAGACAGACTGAGAATACAATGAATTACCACTGCTTTTCATTATTCGGATATTGCAAGAGATGATTGATCAAAGACAATACAATACTAGTAGCTAAGAAGGGAAATCTATACGTATAATAAAATCGTAACTGTTTACTGTCTGTACATGGAAGATATACAAGAAAAACTATTATAGGTGGGCTTCATGAACGCAATAGAATCCGAAACAATGATTTTGAGAATTTTTGTCTGTTTGTCCGGGTCAGATCTAACGCTTTCTATCTTATTCCTCGTAAATCCTAAGGGTATTTGCAGACAGTCCAGACTGCCAGCATTTAAATCATTGCAGTATGAATTATATGCTGGCTAATATACAAAAAAGAAGTAGTGGTAGGTCGTTGTTGTTTATAACTATAATAATTTAATAGAATAAATTTAATATAAATTAATATTGTACATAAATTATATAGGTCCTGATTACCTTATTAAAGAATTTAGTATTATAGGAGACATTTTAGAGAATTTAATGTCTGTTTCAGGTGAAGCCGACGAAGGGAACACAGAGAATATTGTTATTGTTACAAATCAGAAAATTTACAACGTGTCTGTTGGGGACAGCTTGACGTTGGATTGCGAGACGTCGCCGCCGGGTATGTAACAGAATTTAGATTTTTTTTTACTTTTCGTTTTATTATTATTGAAATTGAGAATGGAAAGGATAAGCTGGACCGAAAAATAACGAACGAGAAAGTCTTGAAAAGGGTGAATGAGAAGAGAACATTAATAAAAACAATAAATAATAGAAGAGGTAAAATGCTAGGCCATCTTATACGACTTGACAATTTTTTAAAGAGCATGATAGAAGGAAAAATAGAGAGCAAAATAGGAAGGGGAAGACCGAAGAATTACTACATGGGACAGATGAAAAAACACTAGGTTTCATGTCGTATTGGGAGATCAACGATATGGCCTGGGATAGAGCTGGCTGGAACAATATCTATACGTACCTATATTTATGCAAATGATGGAATGATAGGTCAACTAATTGATAGACATTGTTTTCAAAGAAATAACTAACAAATTGAGTTATCAATAATCGAATAAAAAAATTGGAACGACTGCTTAAAATACCAAAAGGAAGACTATAAGAAAAATCGTCTATATGTACACCACTATCCCACTTAAAATTAAATTTTTGTTTAAATTTGAATTTGTATACTCTTGTTATGTCCATGCTGCTGTTCATGTCTGTTGGCGACGATTACCAAATGTGTATCCAATGAGTCGACAGCTTGTTGGCCGTTCTGAATATCATAAAAAATTAAATATTATAATTTAATTATTTATATTTACCGAAGTTGCGAATTAACAGATTGTCTTGGTATGGTCATGTGATGCAAACGAAAGCCATGTTGTAAAGAAAGTGTTAAGTATGAAAGTGGATGGAGTGTGTGAAAGAAGATGTGCATAAAAGAGAAGTGAACGCAGAAATGACAGTTGACAAGAAATCGTAGAAGAAGGAAACATACTGCCCCAACTCCGGTGAAGCAGGGGGTTCGAGATCATACGTTATGGCAAGAGCTATGTTTATATTGGGAAGAGCTACGTACAGCAGTGGACAGTTATAACGATGATGAGTTATTTATATTAAATGTTGATATTAACAAAGTAACAAATATACGAATATAATTAGAATAGTACATAGTAAAACCAATGCACACAAACTGCCGAAGCGAAAAGCCAACAATGAATACTAATGAACGATAGCGCCATCGTTACTTTTGACTAGGAAACAATTCATCACTTCCGTTCACCTTAAATAGATGCCGTACTACGATTAGTCAATCTTGTGGTGAATCATCCATTGACAAAGTGGATTCAACAAATGTCCGCATATCCTGGACCCCGAAAATTCAAGTCTGTTTGAATAAAATACTAGACAGATGTCAGCACATGAGTAGTCGAATCAAACACACACACATAGAGAGAAAGAGAGAGAGACACACACACAAACGCACGCACGCACGCACGCACCCACACACGCGCACGCACACGCACACGCACACGCACACGCACACGCACACGCACACGCACACGCACATATATAATTTATTTTTATGATATTTCATTGAATAAATAATCTATTAACATTATAAATGAATTATTGAATGAACAGACAAACAAATAATTACTAATAAAAATATACAAAGTAAGATAGTAAATTCATATAAAATTATACTATTTCCAATCAAAAAGTCATAAATAATAACTGTAATCAAATTGATAGCCCATCTAATGGAAAGCAGTAACCATCGCCTGTAGAAATAGCACCATGTAAGAAAGACTCTGTTTTCCGCACTTAGCCTCTCATTTGGGCCGTTGTGCGTGAATAGCACCATGGACATCATATTATATAGAATATTAACTTTAAGACTTTCGCGTCCCTTGATTTATGGTTTTTATGAGACTGGAATTAAAATGATCGTTAGGATGATAGAAATTTATTTAGTGCAATTATCTCAACGTTACGAACAGGTTACACATTATACTGTGACACTCATAGTAATCTACGTGTGTAATGTACCTGCCAATATTGCGACTTGTGTGAAAATTTTTGATTTAGTTCCACAAAAACACACCAACACCAACCGTGTAAGAACCTAAACTATTGAACCACCAGAGGGAGACTTTGTACAAAAGTCGATTGCTTGGGTACCTCTGTCCCATTCGTGTTTCAACCGTGAAGTAGTTGTGTTTGCATGGCTGTGTTTCAGTTTGAAGGGTGGGATATGGCGTAAATTTACTGGGTACAGAGGAATAACACCTGGGTCCTCAGGAATGGCAACGCATGGGGGGTATCATGGGCGAAACAGTATACTCTGTTATGTCCACGGTACTGCTCATGTCTATAGGCGACGGTTACCACTTTCCATCAGGTGGGCCGTCAGCTTGTTTGCCATTCTAAGTTGTATAAAAACAAAAAAAAACGATGTTAGTAAAATATCTATTCGAGCAATCTGAAGGTTTTCTCCAACCTTTCTCATAAAATTAAGAATTTTCCTAATCAGTTAATAAATGACAGAGTTATGAGCTTATATCTATTATATAACATAAGTTACGCTTCAAACTATTTTCTCCTACATTCTTCACGACTCTGGAACGCGCTTCCTGATGCCATTAAGAGACTACCGACTAAACAGCCTTTAAAAAAAAGCGTTCACACTCACTTTTTATCTTTATCCGAGCAGTAAGTGCTTTACATTATTCCCAAATTCGTGTATAATATAGTATATATCATATATGTGTAAGTATATTTGTTATTCATATATATTTATTCGTTTATATATGTAATTTCAGTATGTATGTATATCAATAATTACTAGTACCGCATTCGAGTATTCTGACACTTCCCTATGGTTGACTGGGAGAGGATGCTTTTAGTATTAAGTCAGCCATGTACACATATTTGTACTAATGAATAAATAAATAAACATAAACATAAAGTACAACCGGAATAAATGCCTCCTCCTTTGTTTATGTCGGTTAAAAATAATTATAAGCGACACCCTGTGTGTTACAGGTGTCTATAGGTATAAAAGTATTTTAACTAAGTCTTAGCAAGCTTGCACTAATAAAAAAAAGCTATAAAATAACACAGCAAGGACCAAAAAAATCATGTTTTACTAAATTAGCTGTCATATAAAACATTATAACTTGTAAAGTTAATAAATGAGGTGATTCTAAAACGTTTAAAATATCTCTAAAAAAAATATTTAATTACAAAAAGTTATTACACACTACAGGAATCTTTCAATGAGAAAATTTAATTGTATTTGTACCTATTTGTTTCAATGTAATATTGTTTTATTTATTTATGTTAATCGACGATACATATATATATATATATATATATATATATATATATATATATATATATATATATATATATATATATATATGTAAAAATTTAGTTATATACTTTATGAAATATTTATTAATGTGATTGCTGTGCCCTTCCAGGGTTCATGTTGATTCTATACTTTTAATAACTTAAGACCTATATTGTTACAACATGTAATAGCAATAAATGATTGAATTGAATTGAATTGAATTAATTAATTCTATTTTCACAATAAAATAATAATGTTACTATATAATTTACATATATGTTGTTTTGTCATACGTAACATGTATAATTTATATTATTTTCTTAAAGAGTGATTGTATCTAATTAATGATGTTATTTAAGTGAAAAGTTTGTTTAGTGTATGGTGTAAATAAATAAATAAAGGAAATAATATAATTTATATTATAAATCATCCACAGGTATTGCAGTGCTGCAGTGGCTCCATAACGACAATATATACTACCTGGGTACGATAAAAACCGTATCTGACACTAGACTTAATCTGTGAGTATTTTTTTTTTTTCTTTATGGAATAATTAATTTCTTATTATCGGAGAGTATGGCTTTTGTGTTTCCCCTTTCCTTTCTCGTGGTTGTCGTAAAAGGCGACTAAGATAATTTAATGGTAGAGGGATGATCAGCAAAGTCTGTCTTAAAACATCACCAAACCTAACTGCGGTTGCCAACACGCCTGCTAAGCTTAGCAACTACTGGTAACCCTAAATAGGGGAAGCCCTATGTTCAACAGTGGACAACAGAGTGTTCAAGATTTTTTTTGTATACAACTTAGAATGGCAAACAAGCTGACGGCCCACCTAATGGAAAGTGGTAACCGTCACCTATAGACATGAGCAGTACCATGGACATAACAGAGTATACTGTTTCGCCCATGATACCCCCATGCATTGCCATTCCTAAGGACTCAGATGTTATTCCTCTGTACCCAGTAAATTCACGCCATATCCCACCCTTCAAACCGAAACACAGCCATGCAAACACAACCGCTTCACGGTTGAAACACGAATGGGACAGAGGTACCCAAGCAATCGACTTTTGTACAAAGTCTCCCTCTGGTATGCCTGATATAGTAAAAATAATGGTGTTTGTATTGTGTCGTAATAGTAAGGTAACGCTACACCTTTTAATATCAAAGATGTCGTAAAAGGCGATTAAATTAGGTGAACAAACCACAAAAAATACATAATCCAACTTTTAGATATTTTTCTTTAATGGGTGATAATGGAATGGTATCCCCACCCGCGCTATCGGTATACACCGACGGGGCACCAGTGAAGGATGATAGGTGAGGATGAAGCAGGTCAGTTAGCCCATCGTGACGAATTCAACAAGAATTGTTCACGATGGTTTCCAGGGGGAACCACGTGGAGGTCGACCTAATAGGGCATATTGCTAGCAATGGGGCTGTCAAACTCCATTGCTAACAATCCCTTTCCCCCCACTTCCAGATATTGTTCTGATTAACCCGTACAATTTAAATTAAAAAAAAAAACAAATAAACTGAAATTTATTATAGTCGTGTATTAATACAACTTTTTAGATTCTTTCAGTCGAAATCCAACTTCAGAACTTTTCCTGTCTACTTTCAAGCCAAGTCTGCTGTGAATAAGCAGAGAGATCCGAATGCCAATAAAATCTATTTTTAGATATATAGGTACCAGTTCTGAAGACGCTTGCTCTTCCCTCTGATTATACATTTTCTGTCTTATTATAATATCTGTTTTAATTTCAGGAGTAAGAACGGTTCTATGACGATATCCAAAGTAACCCCTTCTGACGAAGGAGAGTACAAGTGTGTGGTGACGCAGAATAAACCTTTAACACTCAGGCACAGGGTGGTTGTCATTTCAGAGCCAATAATTCGCGGTAAGTTTAAAAATCACAATATGAAAAATGTACTTTAACACTTATGTTGATTTTCATTTCAAATTTTTTGAATCTTCAAAAATTTTAATACATCAGTCAAACTATTGATTCAATGTATCTCTTACTAGTTTAAAGGTTCATAAACGTTATCTCCAGTCAATTTAAGTTTATCTGATGTTCTTTTTTTTTTTTTCGAGAATTTCTTACATTTACAAACTAATGTACATACTTCCTGCAGAACTATTGAAGTTTTATTTTAATATTTCAGAACTGGAGGCTACAAACAACGGCGTGGTAGTCGAAGGTAGCCAGCTAGTACTGAGTTGCGATGTTACCGCTACGCCGCCTCCTCAGATCGTTTGGTCCAGACAGAGACAGGGTTTCAATGAAGTAAGTATAGAGATATATTTCATAGATTTTGAAAGGCAAACAACCTGACAGCCCATCTGATGAAAATTTATAGCCATCGTCATGAACAGCGCTATGTTATACCACTGTGAATTGACTGCCCTAAAATCCTTTAAATTATAATATAGCCAACAAGCACAAGTTCCTGGCTATAAAATTAATAATTGAAACAGTGGAACCTACGCAAACGACAGCACACAATCTGACGGTCTCGTGGAAAGTGGTAACCGTAGCCCGTAGACATGAACACTACCTACTAAACATTTTGACCACATGTTGTGCTGCAGCTTGAATGAGATATGACAATGAAATTACTGGGTACAGTGACTTAAAATCTTCAAGACTTTCCCAAGAGACTACAGCATAGGGTTCTTCAAAAGGGGGGTAAAGAGGTTTCTTCAGGGTCGGCAACGCACGCGTAATACCTCTGGTATTGCACGTGTTCATAGGCTACGGTAACCACTTACCATCAGGTGAGCCGTATGCTTGTTTGCCACCTCAGTGGTATAAAAAAAAAGACTCCAAAGTTAGCAATGAACAAGTGATCCCTCTTGTGTTATAAACGTTTAAGGGCTGTGGTAGCCGCTTAAAATGATGAATGGAAAATTGAATGCAGCGAAGCCCATTCAAATGTTTGTCAACTACCAAACCAAGTACAAGCAGCAGTCTCATTACATATTCAATGAATGTCCCGAGGAAGCAGTGCAGCGACCGATTAATAAGTGACTACAAATTGGCTAGGACGTCCTGTCGACGATATTACGGTACAATAGAATGTTGAGATGAAGCAATTGGTTTTACATAATATTATTGAGCGAGTCCTAAAAAGATTTAAAAATACCGACTAACTCTTCGGTGATGAAAATCAAATTGATCCATGCGAAGGCGGTAAATTCGCCTCTGCCATATCCCACCCTTCAAACCGAAACACAACCATGCAAACACAACTCCTTCACGGTAGAAACACGAATGGGAAACAGGTGGCCAAGCAAACGACTTTTGTACAAAGTCTCCGTCTGGTAATTAATAGTTAACTATCTTTTTGTCCACTGCTTTCCATCCGTCTTAAAACATCAAAAACAACTGCGGCTGTCAACTCGCCTGCCAAGCGTGGCAACTACTGGCAAAACCTCCTTATGGGCGAAGCTATGTTCAGCAGTGGACAGTTAATGGCTGATACAACTAGTTTCTTCTAGCTTTTGCTCTGCTTAATGTGAGACTAGATGGCGCTGTGTCTAATGGTTTTTATTTATTATGTATTTATTCCAGAATGAACGTTTACGCGAAAGTGACGGCATCTTTAACCTGAACAGCGTGACGATAGAACACGCAAAGCCGGAGCACAGCGGCAAGTATTACTGCTACGCGTTCAACGGCGTCGGAAATGCTCAAGCTGAAAAGGAAGTTACCGTGTTATGTAAGTGAAATTAATGAGTATTATTATTATTTTTAAGCAAACGAGCAAATGGTCCACCTAATGGAAAGCGTTGTTCTTCTTTATTACTCTGCGGTGAGTTACGCGGGGATGAACCCCGGCTAGCTTAGCTGGAATTGTTGATTTACCGTACTCACATAGTTTATTTAAATTTCCTTAGCTTAACTCCATGGTTCGCAGTGTAAACTAAAGAGTGGCAATAGCCTGAAAGATGAGCTAAGCGAATTTAAACGATAAATAACTAACAAAGCAACTTTAAGGATAGGTTTAGGGAATGTAACTTCAAAACAAACCATAATGTCTGCATTATTTTCCTGATCATTGAAAATTGAACTCTACGTCAATGTTATTAAGATGTAATATAGAAATCGGAATTCATTCGCAGACAAGCCTCGCGTGCACGTGCACCGGTCCGCGATCAACACGGCGCCGGGCGCGCGCGCCGAGCTGCAGTGCTCCGCGCACGGGGACCCCACGTGAGTACGCCGCACTACACTATACTGCACTACACCGCATCGCACTACACCTATACTGCACTACACTGCGCCGCACTACACTATGCTGCACTACACCGCGCCGCACTACACTACGCCGCACTACACTACGCCGCAATACACTACGCCGCACTACACTACGCCACAATATATTATGATTATTATTATTTACATCATTCTTCTATTAGAAATAACTGCCTTTTACTCCTTACATCACTTCACAATCTGGCTTTATGTCAAACTCTTTCACCATTCAAGCGTCACGACTTTGGAATGCACTGCCTGAAGATAGCCGAGGCCTTCCAAATTAATTCATCTTCAAAATAAAAGTCCATGCCCACCTTATAAACTAATTTTTGATATATTTTTTTGTGTATTTATGTATTTCTTTATAGTTATGTACATTTATTATAATCATCAATTTATGTTATTTATGTACAATATTATATTATTTATATATTATATATTTAGTTATTTTCTTTACCTACTCCAATAATAAAGTACCGCGTTCGGGAAATTCTAAACGTAGACTGGTAGAGAATGCTACTACCATTAAGTCCGGCCTTTGTACCATATTTTCTTTTGGTCAAGTTATTTAAATAAATTAATAAAACAAATATGCTAAAATACTCTACACTACGCTAACTGGTTAAATAGCTTTATTGACAACTTACAATGCATGACGCAAAGTGTGCACTTGGTACCAACAGTTATTTTTGTGTATTGTTAACATTATATATTGTAATAAGTACTTAAAATTAAATAAATATATATAAATTCAGTGATTAATATTTGTATTCCATTTGATGTGGCGAAACATAGTGGACATCATGTAAACTAGACTTGAATGCAACATCTTATCTACAATGTTTCTGGCAAATAAATTTCATCTCATTCCACTATCTCCTAACATAACATTAAATTACCACCATATTTATCTATACAATCTCAAACATAAAATATAACTTTAATGATAAATGTAATGTAAATGGATTAACTGTTTTATGATAACCGCAGTATGCTTTATATATATTTGCATATGGCATAAAATTAATTAAATGAAATTATTTATTTCAAAATATTTTTTTTTACTTTTATTTCAATAGGTACACATTACAGAGAATTAACATGGTTACATTAATTTATACAGTACAATAATGTTTTGTTCAAGCTAATACTTCAAAAATATGCGTACACAGCATGATCATTGATCATTGTCAACATCTGCATGTATTTATACGCATGTTTTACAAATAAATAAATCTTGAATCTTGATCCAAACATAAACACACAGCTAAACAAGTCTGTAAACACAATATATATATATATATATATATATATATATATATATATATATGTATTGTAAATTATAATTGTTGTTCTGATTACATTAAATCAATTGATTATTTTATATTAACTTCCAGGCCGTACCTTACTTGGTACAAAGATGGAAGCTCCATCGCCGAAGATCCCAGATACGTCATCATCAACAACGGATCCCAGTCCACCCTCGTCGTCGTACCTAAGGCTGATAATGATTTTGGCACATACACTTGTATTGTAAGTCATTTTTAAGCTAAATATGTGTTAGTGTCTTGAATTCTATCTGAAGCAAGATTCAGTGTACAATTCTCGATTCAGAAATAACCTATTAATTACATTAAACCTATTTTTTATACAGCATACGACGGCAAACAAGCTGACGGTCCACCTGATGGAAAGTGGTAACCTATAGCCATGAGTTGGCACCAGCCTTCTTTGCTTACTTAAGTTGCATGTGCTGTGATAGTATGGGAGTTTCTAAATTTCTTGATACTTTTGGACCAATCTTTCTTCGAGAAAACTTTTCAGTATCCCTGGTGGAATATTTCCGAATAATTTCTATTCCACTCTGTATATATTTTACTAGTTTATGTTTTATAAGACAGACAAGACTTCTTCTTCTTCCTACCCTTATTCCAATTATTTTTTGGAGTCGACGTAATATGTTTTAATCCATATTACAAAAAGATTTGGCTTAGTTTTACAACCGGCCGCCTGCCTAACGTCAACCCTCTTCGGGAATGCATTTGTTGGTGGTTTCCGCCACCAACGGTATGGAAGAAAGGATTGAGGAAAAAAGGAAGGGAACGTTGGAAATGTGTAAGGGAAATTGGTAAATAAGAGGAATAAGGGAGTTATGTATGAAAGGAAAGGGGGGGGGGGTACACTGCAAGATAGATAAATATTTATTGCACATAAAAAATATACACATATAGATTACAGTAATTTCAAAGTTTTATATAATAAGTATAAAATATAATATTATGCCCAGTATATTAGTGTCTAAGCTAGGCCTAGCCTGTATCTTAGACTCCAATGCCTTCAATTAGATACATATTTTCGTCTAGTTTCGGTACATTACCATAGCACAAAATTCATTAAAAATAATGTTTTATAATAGTATTTTAATAGTAAAATCAGGTATCTTTAAATTAAATTGCAATTAGTTGTGTATTAAATAAATTTGCTTTAAAGAAACAAGAATTAACGTGATTATTTAGATAAACTATGATAATTTACCTGAATTATATCCTTTAAATGAATAAATAATAATAATCTTAAAATATAAATTAAATAAATAAATATAATATAATTAATTATATATAAATTTAAGTTTGTCAAACTCCTTTGTTTAAAAATTGTCACAATATTGTACACCGCATGTAACGTGTAAGGGTGGGATATGACGTGAATTTACTGGGTACAGAGGAATAACACCTGAGTCCTCAGGAATGGCAACGCATGGGGGGTATCATGGGCGTAACAGTATACTCTGTTATGTCCATGGTACTGCTCATGTCTATAGGCGACGGTTACCACTTTCCGTCAGATGGGCCGTCAGCTTGTTTGCCATTCTAAGTTATATAAAAAAAAACCGCTCTACCCGCTGACATTGATGCTCCTTTCCACTTTGGGTGTTGCTGGAAGAGAACTCTTTTAGAATTAAGCTCGCCTTTGTACATTTGATTATCTCTGTCATATTTTTATGTATAATTGGTGTGTACAATAAAGTATTAAATAAATAAATTATCTCGGCATTTCGACCATGTTACAGGTTACAAGGAGCGTGAAAGTCTGAAAGTTAATATTCCATTGCTTTGTTCCTCTAATTACGTTATGCAACGTTTTTGGGTGTTAAACAAACTTTTGATATGTTATATCGCTTAACTCTATACGGTGTGTTCAAACCTGATGAAAACAATTTCAGGCGACCAACTCTCATGGTGTACACAACAAATCCGTGGAACTGGTCCAGAGGCCGGTCATCGAGGAAGTAGAGGCTGATGGCCTGAAGCTGGTGTGGAAGATCCACTCGCACCAACCATTGGAAGACATCCGCATCCAAGCATTCCCTTTGAATGGAGTACGTATTGTTTAACTTAATTTTTATTTATACAATGCCCATTGTCCTATAATCTCGGTACAGAATAGGCCACCCCTTCCTTTCCCACCTTTGCCATGAATGTAAATAAGAGGCGACTAAGGGAAGTTAATGTTTGAGGAACGGACAATAGTGTCTCTCCTAAAATATCATCAAAAGCTTAACTACAGTTGCCAACCCGCCTGCCAGACGTGGCAACTACTAGAAAAACTCCCAACAGAGAAGCTTATGTTCGGCAGTGGACAAAGGCTGATATGATGATGATGTTGATGGGAAATAAATAGTTATTTTCCTTTATTGTTATTTGCCGCCATTGCTTGGAGTAATTTTTATTTCTTTCTTACCACAGGACAATGCTGATCCTACCAACATCACTGTGCCCCTACCGGAAACAAGAGGCAAAGTGTACGAAATGAGCCATGAGGTCAACGACCTCCCAGCTGGCCAGTACGAGGTGATCGTCAAAGTGAAGAACAATAAAGAATGGAGCAGAAACACGAATCCAGTTGTCCTCAATATCGGTAATTATGTTACGGCCAACTTAACACCTCAGAAGTAAAATAAAAAAATATTTATTGCTAAAGAAAATTTGTTAAAAGTTAAAATAGTTTAACTCAAAACCATTATCTGTGTAAACAAAATGTGTTGAGTAGTTTCCGAGTTTATCCATTAAAAACAAACGCACAAAATATCAAATCTTTCCTCTTTATTACATTAGTATAGATTATCATTCGATGACTCCTAAACAAAGTATCCATGAGAAGAAATTAAACTGTAATCTCTTAATAGTTTAATAATTTAAGTCTCAGTAAATATCATATTAAAACCATACAAAAAAGTAATGTCAAAAAAATATAGTATTTAATATACTGAAATGAATTTTTTTTTTAAAATAACATACAATTTACATGACTGTCCCATTCATGTTTCAACCGTGAAGCAGTTGTGTTTGCATGGCTGTGTTTCCGTTTGAAGGGTGGGATATGGCGTGAATTTACTGGGTACAGAGGAATAACACCTGAGTCCTCAGGAATGGCAACGCATGGGGGGTATCATGGGCAAAACAGTATACTCTGTTATGTCCATGGTACTGCTCATGTCTATAAGCGACGGTTACCACTTTCCATCAGGTGGGCCGTCAGCTTGTTTGCCATTCTAAGTTGTATAAAAAAAAAATGAAAAGGTTTTGCTGGAAGAAATCTCTTATTAGAGACAAACTCGCCTTTGTACATTATGTTTATAATGAATTGTGTTTAACATTATGTTTTGTGTACAATAAATAATAAAGAATAAGAAAAAAGAAATTTATTTTGCTAGAATGTAGATAGTTTTAGTTGAAAAAGGTTTACATTTCCCATATACATTCTGTTTCTATGTTGGCATACAAATTATTGTCATATGAGAAATTTACGTCGATTATATTTCTTTTTATTAGTTATATAAATATAAATTCAGACCAGCAAGAATTGTATTACACAGATGTTGGTTTAAATTAGCATATTATTTAACTATATTAAAAAATTTGGAGTTTAGTTCACTTGAGTAAAAAATCAAAAGTACCTATTTCACTTCGGGATTACACTGGTACTAACATCCAAGCGCATGTTTCACGTTTCAAATATGTAAATTAATAATTCATTAGTTTTGGTATTGTTTTGAATCTCATTCAGTCATGATCGGACATTACTAATACAATATTTATAAGCGACTTCTAAATAAGGTAAATCTCAATTTGACTATATGTTTAAGTGCGTATATTACACGACATCTTTTAACATTTTTTTTTTTTTATGATAATTATTAAAAGATTTACTACCATATTGATTTTATACAAAATATTTGCATTTGTAGACGTTCGTTACTTTCTTGTGGAAGTCGTAAGTGGCGACTAAGGGAGGACAAGGGATGGACAGCAGCGTCCCTCTTAAAACGTCACCAAAGCCTAACTGCCACATGCCAAGCGTGGCAACTACTGGCAAAACCCTCCTAACTTATGTCATTATGTTCAGCAGTAGACAGTTAAGGGCTGATATCACGATGATGACGAAACTTTTATCAAAATTGATTTCTTTTTTTAAGCGATTTCCCAAAGAAGGAGGTTCTAAATTAACTCTTTTTTTATTAAGTAATTACATCACCAATTATGATTAGCTGAGCCGATTTTGATAATTCTATTCGTAATCGATAGGTTTTGATGTTTTATGACAGAAGTCGCTGCAGTTTTTTTTTTTTTATAAAATGTACTTGTGTACATAGATAGGTATATTTCATTCTTGTATAAATTCATTTTCTCATTTAGTTATATTTAGTTTTAATATTTCATTTCTTCATTGTTAATAACATTGTGCTTGATTTTGATTTTTCTTTTATATTTTTTCATTGTAGCTGAGCAGTCCATGCTTATTCAGCGTAGTTCAGGTTGGTTTTTTAATTCATTTTCATTTAATTTATTATTAAGAATTTATTTTAACAATATTTTTTTTTTAATTTAATCACAAAAGAAATATGGATATGGGAAAAAATGTTGCGGCGTTTTATTTTATCTTTATCTCTTCAATTGATTTTTTTTTAATTGAATTTTTTTATATTCTTTTTTTTTTACAAAACGTATATACAAAATTTTGAGGCCGTATATTTTTTTTTCTTTATTGTCCAATTTTCAATTAATTTTACTATACTTCAGGGGAATGTTTGTAAAATTATCAAACATAGATTCGACAAATGCATGCATGCAATGCATGCAGCTAGAAGAGAAGCTAGAGAAGTTAGAAAGAGAAAGAAACTTCATAAAGACGTATGCATGCAAATTCTGGTTCACATGTTTCTGCCACCAAAAACATTACAAGTAGAAATTGCTTGCATGATCGCTTCCGTTTGATAAATAGAATGTGGCAATGAAATTATTGGGCTCGAAGTTATATTTAGTCCTCGAGAAGAATAACTCTTAAAAGAGTGTCAAAATGTATTGTTTGCTGTATATGGCGCTGTTCATGTCTATAGGCAACGATTACGATTCTATTTGTCATCACATTTTTGCCTTTAAAAATTTGCATGCAATAAATTACAGCAGGAATATATTCATGTAACAAACACTATTTATTACATTACACGAACATGTAATGTTGCATTGTTTGTTACATTACATGAACATGTAGTTGTAATATTATATATTACATTACACAAATATGTTAAATAACTTTATTCGTTATATTAAATGAGCATGGGATTTAATATTATTTATTAAATTATAGTGTAACATTATTTTTTATATAACATGCGCATGTAAATAGCCGTGTAGGTCCTGGCATAGAATAAGCTACCCCTTCCTCTCCAGTGGGTGTTGTAAGAAATTAAAATATTACCAAAAGCCAAACTGTTGTTGATTACCCGCCTGCTAAAACGTGGCAACTAAGTGGCAAAACCCCCCTTATATGCAAGGCTATGTTCAGCAGTGGTCAATTAACGGCTGATACAACAACAATGCGCATGTAATGTATTTTTATTTGTTACATTACACGAATATATAGTATTACTTTATTTGTTACATTAGATAAGCATGTTCGCAGTATAAACATAATCGAAAAGTATATTTCGCCTTTTTCCAGTATTCCGAGGTGCGGCCAGCTCAGTTGCGCAGTCTACGACATTATTATCGACGACTCTTATGTATCTACTTATCCGGATGCTGTAAATTGTTTAGCATTACTTATTTATTGTTAGTAGGTATATATTATAATCCAAGCTATATGTGCTTCTGGGTGTTTGTTAAGCAGTCTCAGTTGGTTGCATAGCCTGTTGTAAATATGAGATGTGTTGCATTACTATTTTTTAATTATATTGCTATTAAATTTGACGAACTCCGTCAGTGATGAATGTTGATAAGGTTCCATATTCGATTCTCGATCGAGATATAAGCAATTAAATTAGCTCAAATCGGTATGTTCTGGACTTTGTCCGTTTGTTCGTTGTCGAAAAACCAGCCTCACTGAATAATTGGAAAATAAATCCTAACAATGGATATGTCTTCACTTCGAGAGATACATATATATTAGCAATATAGTTTATAATGATATCAAAGAATAAACAATACGCCTTTTAAGTATACCTATAAATAGAAAAGACTCATGGGAATTTAGGAAGTTGAATCTCATAAACTGTAAACGAACTAGAATAGACAATTCTAATTAGACACACATTCCCATCACGGAACTTACAAGAAATAAAATAAAATAGCATATAGTTTCAATTATTATTATTATTTATTTTAGAAATATTATTAATCAATTAAAATATGAAAATAATATTCTGAAAAATATTATGTGATTGAAAAAATTATCAAGCGGACGGAATCTGTAATCTATTTATTCTTTTAGTTTTATTTTGATATTAAAAAAATAAAATATTTAAGAATATGTATATATATATATATATAAATATTAAAGAATTTGATGTGACTTAATAAAATGTTTAATAATATGAACTTCTAATTCCTAATACTCGTACTACTGCAAACACACAGAAAATAAAAAGCAACTGAGAGATCGTGAGTGCAGTTTAAAATCATAAAACACTTAATCTTGAGACTGACTTGACAAAATAAGTTATACACAATAAAATAGGTATAAATTATTTCTTACCCCTTTAACTCACATACATAATTAAATGTTTTATTTAAAGACAATGAAGGATTCTGAACCTAATGTTTCAGTGACTAAACTATATTGCTAAAATACGACTTTCATTTCTCAAAAACACTTGTAATATATCAGAATAACAATATCATGAATCGCCGTAATTCCTCAACGACGTCTCATATTTATTTCAGGTGATTGCACATGCTATTACAGATCTTGTTCTATGCTCGCTATTAAGACGAATGTTGCAGATAGCGAGTCCCATATTGTCTGTCCTGAGTAAAACAACTTCCATAACCATATTTACACAATATTACGTGTAAAAACTGTGTATTTGACAGTTTATTTGTTCCAAAAAGAACTGTTTTATGTGTCAAACAACACATTTTCAAATTTCGAACATGCCTTCTCCAAATCTAAAAGGAAATTCCAAATTTAAATTATGTTAAAAGCTAAATGTTTATACTTTGTAGCTATTGTATAATGCCACCAACAAAATTTGTACTTTGAAAGAAACTTCATTAAGTTTGCATTTTTTAATTGTGCTAATTTTATTGTTATTGTACATATTATTACAACATTGGCAACTTCTAAATTTTGATATCATAATTAATATGTTCGAAAAAGTTTTATTTTTCTTTTAATATTTTTTTTAATTTCACCCATTTTTTATAATATACTATATTATCTGTCACAAAGTACAAATAAAATCAATAAATATCCCAGTTGTTTTGTTTTATGCATTTTTTTATATTTTCCATCTAACATTGTTGTACAGTATAATATTTAAGTAAAGTACATAATTATTTAAGTAAGTAACTGTATTTAGAAAAAGACGTTGCAAAATACGAAGCCACGGAACTTAATTGTGAAACTTAAATGTATTCTATTCCAGTTAGAAGTTTTATACGGACATTTTTTATAATATATTAATTTGATAAATTGATTTTACAAATTTGTAATTACAAATAATTGCAAATGTGTTACCTTCATCATTTTCTAGTGTTTTAAGCGATTATTTGGTCATAAAAAGGTAAATAAAATAATATTAAAAAAGAGCTTAATTTTCTTTACTTAATGTATCTTTTTATAAAGAAATATTCCTAAACAAACCGTAAGTATCTTAACTCGTTCCTGTTTCAGGTTTTAAATAATCAATTAAAATTATGTAAATATTATTTTATTATTAGTAATATTTTTTTATTTACACAGTGAAATTAGATATAATTAATTAATCAACAGCACTAAGGTCTTTGATGTTGATACATTTATTAAGGTTTTCAATAACATTTCTTTAATTTACTAGTTTAGATAATAATATTTAGGTAAATATTACCAAAGTTATATCACAGTAGTTTAGTATTATGTCCTGGCTTCGATTAATTGAGTATTTTAATGACAAAATGCTATTTAATTAATTAAACTGGCTATTTGATTAAGTAAAATTCGAAACGCTTAGCTAGTGTCTAATTGCAGGCTTTTCATTTTTAATTAAAAATAAAAACTAATTTAATTCTTATTGTGTCAACATTATATGGAGATAATTTGGAAATATAATGTGGCACTGGCCCATTCCATTTGTATGAATGTTGCAACTAGTAAGCTGTCAAATGTAGTGTTCATGTAACTTCACTATACCAACCAATTAAGCTAGAGATATAGAATTATATATCTTTTTTTGGGAAATCACTGTAATTCTCAGAGTTACAATAAAAAGAGCATACGATTACTGCTCATAGATTAATTCATAACTATAAACGATAAGAATTTAGAAATTGTATATCTAGCACTGAAATTTTAAATATTTATAACAAAAAGTATTTCTTTTTTTTATATTCATATTTAACTGCATTTTTTATAAAAAAGTCCTTGACTATTTATACAAATTACGTGTATTAGTGTCAAGCTTACTATTGTGAGTTTATTGACCATCATGTTTCACTATAGTCAAGAGCAAAATTTTCAATTTTTTTTAACAAATTCATCCTAAGGACATAACATACGTCGAGAGAATTGCAGTTATTTCCCTTAAAACTTATAATACGTGTTTTATAAGTGCATCGGCCATAATATGCATAGTTAAACGAGTTACAGAATAAGTAAATTACCATAATTGTAGTTATGTATTATAATGATGTGCCTCACGATACAGATCCAAGACGGTGCTTGTTATAATTACAATGTAATTTTCCATGTAATTTTAATAATACCAATAAACTACTATATATATACGCAATGGACAAAACATTATTGCCTAAACACTTCCCTCCAACTTGTCCGCGATTCAGTAATACTTTAACTATATTTTTATACAAACAAAAGGAGGGAAGTTAAATTTTAAATAGAAACGATATATTAAAATGCTTCTATATTGCGCTATGTATTTTGTAGGCTGTCATATTATCAACTAGTCTTATTACAATAGCTTCACTAAACGTCTACTTAATCATATGAATCGTTATAAGTTTTTAGTAATCTAATTGACTATGTATTTACTTACATTTAGAATTATTAATAGCTTTATTTGAAGTATCGGTGACAGTTAAAATTGTTCAATAACAGCATATTAATGACCTGATAAATTGAAGACCATATGTAATTATATGTCATGTATATTATATTAAATTTATTGTTGTATCCACTAAAGAATAGCATACTGAGCATAACATAAAAAGTCTTGATGAGCATGCATTCTAAAATATTCACATGTAATATTACAACTCAAATGGTTTCACTATTGTGAATACATTGAAATACAAGATTGTAGTAGGAATATGGTCATGTAGTGTAACATTATTTGTTATATTACATGAACATGTTGTCTTACTATACATGCTTACAATTACATAAATGTTATGTTACACGTCTTTACGTGTAATATAACATATTTCGTAAACATTCACTTTAAGAGTATTCATATGTAACGTAACAACTCAGAAACAGGCATTACAATAGTTAATACATGAACATGTAATATTACATAGGAAATATGGTCATGTAATGTTACATGTATGGCAATATGTACTCGAAGTTGACTGATTACTGTTTATCAACTTCCAATAAATTATAATGACTTTTACAAATGATTAGTAAGTATTACAATATATTTTATATATATATTCATATATAAATATTCTGGTAAATTAATGATTTATTAAATAAAATACTTAAATAGATAATTTCAAAGGTTTTCAAAGTATAATATTCAAAAAAATATTTATAAAAATCTCATTTACAATTAAGCTAAACTGTATAAATATCGGAACCTATCAATTTCTCAATATTCTATTGGATATTTTTCAATATCCAATAGTTTTACAAACATCCTTACAGACTGCTCCCGTAAATGTGGTCGATAAGAAAATAGACAAATTAATAGATTTAAAAAAAAAATGTTTTAAAGAAGCTGTTTTTTATCTATATATAATTAATAGACTATTTCCTTATAAACGGTTGTCTGTATCATTTTTTGATGGTCGGACAATTAACTAATTAATACTTATTATTGTAAACATGTGGTGTAATTGTAACTGCCAGTACGTTGCATTGTAACTTTTTGACAACAACACATGTTTGTGTATTCTAAACTTTTTATTGTAATTTATTTTATTTTTCGGATTGTCAACATTATTATATATTAGAACTAGATCGTATACATTCAGATAATGTCTGTCTTTAAACACTTCGGCTAATCAAAGTCCAAATTTTTATTCATGATTTAGTGATTTTTTATTAAACTTACCCAATTTGTCAGCACATCGTATGTGCATGAATATCACATGTATTACAATATTACAATTATTACTACTTTGTAACATTTGTGTTTTTTTTTTTCAGTTTTGTTTTACTATAAAGAGTTGAGGAGTTTTTAAATACTGGACCTTCCATCTAGATGCATAGGTTTTAGACGAGAACATTTGCGGTTGTCAATTGTCAATGCAACGTTACAGCCACATATTGTATGATGACGAATAAAGATACACGGTGCCTTCTATGCTACGAATGTCTATGTAACAGAAGGCGATAGTTTTGTCGTCTATTAAATAAAAATTAATGTTTACTTGTAAATATTACACGTTTGTTTCATTTATATGTACGTACATATAAGTTTCATATCCTTTAGAATTAACTACGTCACATCCTATTGTCCATTTTACTTCACTAGAAATTGCAAATCGTCTATAGACATTAACAACCCCATAAATATCTTTTTTTTTTATTCAACTTAGAATGGCAAACAAGCTGTCGGCCCACCTGATGGAAAGTGGTAACCGTCACCTATAGACATGAGCAGTATCATGGACATAACAGAGTATACTGTTTCGCCCATGATACACCCCATGCGTTGCCATTCCTGAGGACTTAGGTGTTATTCCTCTGTACCCAGTAAATTCACGCCGTATCCCACCTTTCAAACCGGAACACAGCCATGCAAACACAACTGCTTCACGGTTGAAACACGAATGGGACAGAGGTACCCAAGCAAACGACTTTTGTACAAAGTCTCCCTCTGGTAATAACTGGTATCACAGTGTATTCTGTATTACCCATAGTACCCTTGTGTTGCCATTTGTGAAAACAAAACAGTCAAACAGCCTTACAATATATACATATATACCAACAAAAAATAACCAAAACCTACTCGTATTATGCAAAAGGCCTATCTCATAGACTAGACATGTCTCTCATATTCTCTTTCTACGTTATATCTTCTTTTTTCAATAATGGCTTCAAAAAAAGAATATTTATGAATTTCAGACAAATGTCAGAATAACACTAAGTACTGATAAATACTTCTATATTTTTTTACTATTATTAGTTTTTTTTTAATTGTTAAAGCTATACTCCGATGGTAGGAAATGGTTCATACGCCAGTAAGTATATAATGAATATTTATTTTAATTAAATGTCGGGTTTTTCCTGATAACCCTGTGACACTGCGACCATTCCATTGTGTTTTGTGCTTGCCCCTTTTTCTTTTAATTCACTGCTAATTCCTATCAGTAAACTTTAAGATGTTCTTTGTAGTTCTTTTTTATCTCCTAAGGCTATAGAGTGTATTTTCCAAAAGAAAATATCGTTTATGTATGAGTGGGATACAGTTACAAATTAAGTGCTGCGGCGTTTCTTCCTCATTGTGACAAAATCTGTAAACTATTGGGGATAAGTCTAGTTTTTATTTTTTTGATAAGTGAAAATGGTGTGGTAACCCCGCCTGCGCTAACGGGATACGCTGGCGGAGCACCAGTGAAGGGTGATAGATGAGAATGAAAACAGGCCAGTTAGCCCATCATGATGAATTCATCAGGAATTAACCATGATAGTTTCCGGTTTCAGGGAGAACCGCGAGCAGGTCGACCTAGTTGTATATTGCTAGCAATGGGATTCTCAGTCTCCATTACTAACAATCCCTTTCCCCCGGATAAGCCTAGTTGGATTATATGCTTGTAGACACATTAAACAACAAAAAAAAAAATACAGAAAATAGTGTCTACAAATAGATTTTCAGCACGCTTGGTTTTGCTCCACAAAGAAAAATGGCAACTTCAATAAGGTCAAAATTAATAAAATACCGACACGGGAGTAAAATGGGCCTGAGCCTAATTGGGCCATGTGATTGTTTAGTTTGCAGTGTCCAGTGAGAGCCCTTTTTAATATACACATAATACGTTTACTCAAAGGAATTATATAATAAATATATTATATATTTTTTTAATGGATGATAATGGTATGTTAACCCCGTCTGCGCTATCGGTATACACTGGCGGGGCACCAGTGATAGATGACTAATGAGGATGAAAGCAGGTCAGTTAGCCCATCCTGACGAATTCAACTAAAATTAGCCACGATGGTTTCCAGGGGGAACTACACGGAGGTCAACCTGACAGGGTATATTGCTAGTAATGGGGCTATTTGACCCCATTACTAACAATCCCTTTCCCCCCAATATTATAATATTATGTGCATAAGAAGCAATAATATACAAACTAAAGTGTGGAAAATCCTTAATTACTAAAAAATATTACTAACTAGGTGAAGGATAAGCAAGCTGAAGTGGCATTGGGCTGGTCACAGCTCGAAGAATCGACAACCGATGGGGAAGAAAGATTCTTGAGTGGCGATCACGTTTGGACAAACGCAGTGTAGGGCACACCTCACTAGATGGAGTGACCTGAAATGCATTGCAGGGAGTCAGTGGATGCAGGTGGCTCAGGACCGTTCTTTATGGCAGTCTATGGGGGAGGCCTATGTCCAGCAGTGGACGGATAATGGCTGCGATGATGATGACGATGAACTAGCTGTAATCGAATTAATCAGCATAGTATCCTTGAAAAGTTAGAATATAACCAACATTATATAGTGTTTATATAATAGTGTGCCACTTACCCTTCGTGTTTGGGGGGAAAGGGATTGTTAATAATAAGATTTAACAACCCCATTGCTAGCAATATACCCTATCAGGTCGACCTCTACGCGGTTTACCCTGGAAACCACAGTGATTAATTCTTGTTCAATTTATCACTATGGGCCAACTGACTTGCCTTCATCCTCACCTGTCACCCTTCACTGGTACCCCGCCAGCGTATACCGGTAGCGCAGGCAGGGTTACCATTTCATCTTCACCAATAAAAAAAAAACCTTTATCTTTTTATCTCAATGTCCTCTACCCAAAGGTTGCTTGGAAGAGATTGCTAAGCGATAAGGCCACCTTTTGTATCACTTCTCATTAAAGTCTGCTGTATTTTTATTATTGAATGGTACAATAAAGTGTTAACAAATATACCTAATTTGATCCAAATCTTTTAAGTAACTTTTGCATGAAAAATAAACATTAATCTATCCACCGTTACAATCATTCGCATTTATTATATTAATTAATTTATTTAATATTAAAAGAACCTAACTAAATTAATACAACGAAATATAATGATATTTTAAAAAATATGTAAGAATAAGAATAAAGGATCTTAGAATAAGATAGATAGATACTCTTTATTGTTTCCTCCAAAAGATTACAATAGTAAACTTATTATAAATATAAATAATTACAAGAAATAATCACAATGAGAAAACAATGGGCGACCTTATCGCTAAGAGCGATCTCTTCCACGCAACCTTTGGGTGGTATATCTTAAGTATTATATTAATACTTCTACGAATTTTTTTTTAACAGAGCATCCATAATTCAAGCCATGAAACACCACGTCGCAGTCCAGTAAGTATAGTACATTACTGCAGCGGCCAGCAACTGAGGAACGTGAAAAAAATATTAGGAAAATTATCCCATTTATTAATCTCAAAATACAAATCATATGTATGTACGAAATTTCATTCAAATCTATACAATCTTTTCAGCATGAATGAGTTTTTTTTTTAAGGGTAACCCCGCCTGCGCTAACGGGATACGCTGGCGGAGCACCAGTGAAGGGTGATAGATGAGAATGAAAACAGGCCAGTTAGCCCGTCATGACGAATTCACTAGGAATTAACCATGATAGTTTCCAGTGGAAACCGCGAGGAGGTCGACCTGGCTGGGTATATTGCTAGCAATGGGATTCTGAGTCTCCATTACTAACAATCCCTTTCCCCCCAGCATAAATGAGTTATAAATATGCAAACGTCCGTACAGACATTTTAACATTACCAATTAACATATTTTAAACCAATTTTAATGCAATAAAGAATATGTACATTGTAATTGTTTATATTTATAATAAGTTTACTATTGTAATCTTTTGGAGGAAACAATAAAGAGTACCTATCTATGTATCTATACATGTATATAATAATCTTCGATTAAAGAAGATTAACATCTCAGAAGTGGCAACGTACGAGCATTCATGGGTTGCCCTGTATATATAGTGTGTGTGTATCATCTATACACTACGGTTACCGTCATCTAACTTAGGTGACTTCATTTTGAGGGAGACTTTGTACAAAAGTCGATTGCTTGGGTATCTCTGTCCCATTCGTGTTTCTACCGTGAAGCAGTTGTGTTTGCATGGCTGTGTTCCGGTTTGAAGGGTGGGATATCGCGTGAATTTACAGGGTACAGAGGAATAACACCTAAGTCCTCAGGAATGGCAACGCATGAGTGATAACAAGGGCGAAACAGTATGTGTGTATACTATTATATCCATGGTACTGCTCATGTCTATAGGCAACGGTTACCACTTTCCATCAGGTGGGCCGTCAGCTTGTTTGCCATTCTAAGTCGTATAAAAAAAAATTGTAAACGAAGCATGGATGTCCCTTTTTAAATAATAGAAATATTACAGACAACGGCGGGAACATCACATGGTGGTAAATTTGAAATAAAAGCAACACCACAAGAAGCTATGAAGTACGACTTCGTGACGGCGAGAGAAGTTAGGAAAACCACAACGTAATACTGTATCCACTCATTTTAACATACCACTATCGTAATTATACTAGGTTTTTAGCTTAATTAATTTTTAGCTTAAGGGTCAAATAATTGGTGTCATACCAATTATTTGACCCTTAAGCTAAAAACATAGCAAGTACCTTATTCTCTTATACCTACCTAAACTACACTAAACTACCTAAAAAACAACAAACGAACAACCCAAAATACCCAAAACTCAATCAGTTTACAAACAATAGTTCTCCAAATTGACCCAAGAACTTCGGAAGTTCTTTCTGCACGGCATAGAGCCTACTGCTGCGCCATGTGACGCCATTTCCTTTTAATACATGTAATTTTATGAGATACTATCAAAAGATCAAACCACGAAACACTTGTTTTTTTTTCTACAAAGGTGGCAAACAAGCGCTATGTGGAGAGAAACAATAAATTATTAACCAGTATGGTGCAAAAAGAATATATCATAATGTTAGCTCCCTTACGGGGCAGGTAGAGAGAATCGTCTCATCACAGTCACATGCCAATGGTCAACTTTTGTCAACCTTTCTCATCTAGCGTTCTTTCCACATGCCCGAACCAACTTAATATGTCCTCTCTCATTTTTACACGGACACTCTCATTCAAACCAACTCGTTCTCGGACTACTGTGATGCAAAAAAGTTAGAAATCCAATTATTTGTACTATCTATTAGGAATTCCCTATCTGTACTCTGTAAGTCTTGATTTAAAGTATGTGCAAGGTTGTACTGTGGTTTCTGAATTATGTGGAACATTTCCATTAGTATAATAGGTATGCAGGGTAAGCATTGACATTGACGTCTCGTTATGAGTTCACAAGGTTCTATTGATACATGAACTATGATGTTTACAATTTGGTCTTTAGTCCTACTTGGATGAAACGCTATTAATCAAGTAGAATCAAGTCTATTAAAGTTTGTGTAATAGAAACAAACAAGTTGTTAGGTGAATAAATAAAAGTATATTGGTAAAAAAAAATGTTAATGTATTTCAACCAATGTATATTTAATTTATTCCTTAATTGTTAATACAACAACGACAAAACTAAACTATATGATATCCAGTATAAAGGACACTTTTCTATCATTCGCCTATGGCCGGCTCTAGACGGTGGAATAAGTCTTAAATTATTATAGTATCATTTGGGTCATGCATTGTACTCTTAATTTTTTTTATTCTTTTTTTTTTCTTTTATTTTATAACATAAACGTGCATGCGACTCGCTTAATGCCGCCTCCATGAATACCCGCAACACCATTGCAGGTGTGCTGCCGACCTTTTAAAAAGGAATACGCTCTTTTCTTGAAGGTTACGATGTCGTATCGGTTCGGAAATACCACTTCAGGAAGTTGATTCCAAGAATTCAATTCCAAATTTAGAATATCAAACAACTTGACTGTTCAGTTTCCATTGAAAGTAGTTGCCTTGGTGTACAAACATGAACAATGCCTAAAGCGTCACAATACACTATGATGCATATTGAAATCCACTTACATTGTCATTAATGAGAGCTATGGTGTAAAGCATCATGTACCCAGTAAATTCACGCCATATCATGAGGGATATGGCATGAATTTACTGGGTACAGAGGAATAACACCTGAGTCCTCAGGAATGGCAACGCATGGGGGGTATCATGGGCTAAACAGTATACTCTGTTATGTCCATGGTACTGCTCATGTGTATAGGCGACGGTAACACTTTCCATCAGGCCGTCAGCTTGTTTGCCATTCTAAGTTGTATAAAAAAAAAAACTTTCGTATACTGCAATTACAACATGGCTCTTGATAATGCTGAGCCAATAACAATATCACAATCTAAAAAACTCTTTTCTACCAGTCTTTTCTACCTGACGCATTTGAACAGATTTCAGGATGTGCCAAAGGCTTTGGAGCACTTATTTCTTACACTGTTGCAATATGGTCCGCAGCGTGATGGAGTCTATCGGCCACCTAATCAAGAGTTGTCTCGGCGGAGGCGTGGTGGCCATCCACGAGGCATACATGGATTGTGGTCTGTGGACTGCCCTTGTACTGAACGTGTTCCTCGGGTTTGCTGTCAGCTATTGTATGTTTGTAAGTTTAACAGCGATCTGTAAATTGACTTTTGATGCAGCACGATGAGCATTAAATAGAGTCAAACATAAAATAAAACAATGTTCTTTTGACTACTTTTGAGGTTATGGTTTCATCCCAATTCAATTGTAACAGCCTATTTTTAAAAGACAAGGCCATTTTTTACTCGAACTCAATTGCCTTTTACCTGTATACTACTCCAAAGTGGTAATATCAACGATATGTTACATGTAAAAGATGAGAAAGTGATAAGACTTGCAATGATTACTTTTTTTATATAATTGATCTCAATAATCTATAAATATTGCTATCTAGCAAATAACTGTCACCAGAGGGAGACTTTGTACAAAAGTCGATTGCTTGGGTACCTGTGTCCCATTCGTGTTTCAACCGTGAAGCAGCTGTGTTTGCATGGTTGTGTTTCGGTGTGAAGAATGGGATATGGCGAGAATTTACTGGGTACAGAGGAATAACACCTGAGTCCTCAGGAATGGCAACGCATGGGGTGTATCATAGGCGAAACAATATACTCTGTTATGTCCATGGTACTGCTCATGTCTATAGGCGACGGTTGCCACTTTCCATCAGGCACAAACTACGAACGCTTGCAGCAAATAGTTTAAATAAAGATTTTGATCTAAAAGTTATGTCACAGTATTAGAACTAGAACTTCCATAGGTTAAACATGTTTTGGGTCGGAACATAGTATGCAATAAAGAAAGCTACTTGTCGATATAAATAGATGAAACATGGATGCCTCCATGACTTGATTACTAAATAGATATAAGTAATGGTGTTATGTTTCAGTACTTTGATATGAATTCCAGATATTGGCACGATCGGCACAGAAGATGTACGGCCGAATACAAGTACCGAAGTTGACGTACCCAGATCTGGCGCAGGCGTCGCTAGAAGCAGGCCCCTGGCAACGTTTGAAAAAATACGCTATGGTTTTTAGGTCTGCAAGCATTTCTTCTTAAATTCCGTCAGCTAATAAAAGAATTTTTTTATGATTAGAAAGGCAAACAAATTGACATTCTACCTGATAGGCAGTGGTCGCCCATAAACATTTGCAATATAGTTAACAAGCCTTTACTTGCCTTTAAAGATATCACAGACACTATTTTTAAAGAACATCCTAAAACAACGCATTGGGGTAAAGAAAAAGAAAAAAAAGCACATTGCACTTGTTCGAGAAATAAACTGATCATAAATCATACTCAAAGGTGACAAGTCTTTTCAAAAACCTTAAACCTTGTTCCCTCAGGTGGACTGCCGGCTTGTTTGCCATTCTAAATTGCATTAAAAACAAAATGTAACTGGAACCAAAGTTCTTTAAACAGATATGCAGTGGATGTAGTGATAGTCGTAGACCTTTTCGGCTCCTGCTGCGTCTACCAAGTGGTGATCGCTCGGACCTTGAAGCAGCTGGTCGAACAGTCGAATGAAGTCAACGACGGCGGAACCCCTTCTATAAGAATATATATACTGGGGCTAATGCTTCCTTGCATACTGATTTGTATGATACTCACCCTCAAGTATTTGGCACCGTTTTCATTGGTCGCAGATATATTTATTGGTAAGCATATTGAGAGTTTTGCACTCAACAAAAGCTGTATCAGAGGAACGTTTTGTATAAAAATCATCTACACGTGCACCTCTGTTTCATTCGTATTTCGGCTGAGCAGCAGCAGTTTTTGCACGGCTGTTTTGTTTAAATGGGCATTATTATTTCAGCCATTAACCGTCCACTGCTGAACATAAGCCTTCTCCATAGAAGGAGTTTTTCCAGTAATTGCCACGCTTGGCAGGCGGGTTGGCAACCGCAATTAGGCTTTTAGAGATGTTTTAAGAGGTACGCTGCTGGCCATCCCTCGCCCTCCCTGAATCGACTCTTACGACACCTACGGCAAAGGAAGAGGTGGCCTATTCCTTGCTTGGACCACACGGCCATCATTTAAATGGGCATACATAGCAATAAAATCGCAAGACATAGGGGCATAAAACCTTAAGCCTCAATAAAAATAAGTTTTCCGATTGCCTATAATATTTTTTCACCCACATTTTTTCACAGTAATTTTTATTTTTTTACAGTGATCGTAGCATTTGCTACAGTTTATTACGGAACAAAGAATGCGACTAAAAATCCTCTAGAGTTTGCAATTTTCAATAACAATATAGCTGGACTGTTCGAGTTTATAGGTGTATGCGTGTTCAGTATGGAGGGGGTGGGAGCAACCCTCGCCATCGAGAACAGTATGACTGAACCGAAGAAATTTCCCCTTGTGTGTGTTGGAGGTAATATATCGCACGTAATTTATTTTTGCTCGTCTCTTGGTTTGTTAATTCTGAGGACTCTCTAAGGTTATGCATAAATGTTATTTAAAGTACACAGAAGTAGAACAAAATAAGATTTCGAAAAAAACTTACCTTTAGAACATTGAACCTGTGAAAAACTGTGTACTAATCATCTCTATGGGTACTGCTAGCTCCCTTGTATTTCTATCGACAAGCATCCATACAAAGCATAGCTACTTGGTGGCTTGGAAAAACGCATATAGCTTTCCATTAAATGTGGCATGGGATTATTCACCATTTCAAGGATACATAAATAAATTTTCACAGGGTCCAAATTAAACAACGAAAAGTTTATTTATAGGTCGGAGTTTAAGTTGACAAGATACTTATACAAGATAGGTGAGGATAAAGTCTGCTCGGTCCCGTCGTTACAAGTTCACTAAAAATTAACCACGATGTTTTCCAGGAGAGGTTAACCTGACAAGATATTATATTGCTAACAATGCGATTTCTGTTCCTTTTACTAATAACTGCCTTTTAGTCGGTATTAATTTACTATCTTTGTTTGTTATTCAGGAATGTCTATGGTTGTCGCTATGGTAATGACCGTTGGCTTTTTCGGGTACTGGGGTTTCGGAGATAAGGCGAAATCACCAGTTACCGTCAACTTCCCATGGGAACCGTAAGACAATCTTAACTTTAAGAACTTGTAAAATCTTACTATAGGATATAGGATTCTCATAATAGGAGAGCATTAGTTTATTTGTAATTTTCCTTATTTTTCATTATTAATTTCCCAAAATAAATTTAAAATATTCTCAATTTGGCAAAATTTTGTATTAATTGTAAAGTGTAGTGGAAGCTAGCTAACAAGGAAAAGTACTGTGATCCCTATACCTCTTATCACAGCTTCCCAATCGTCCTAAAAGCATTTATGGCCCTCATGATCTACGTAACCTTTGCCCTGAATTTCTGGATCCCATTCGAATTGGTCTGGCACTACCTCAAGAAACGGCACAACCCTGAAAAGTACTACATATGGGAGCGAGTGTACAGAGCCATACATGTTATTGGAATCACGCTGATCGCCTTTACGTTTCCTAATATCTCCAAGTTTATCGGATTGGTGAGTTTTTATGCAATGTAAGATAGCAAACTGTCGCCCTGTTTGTTTTCAAACAGGGTAACAGTTGGTTACCGTCGCCTATAGATATGGACTGAATCATAAACATTACAGAATACACTATTTGTACCTGTATCTTTCCTACACTAGATTACCCGCCAATTAATTTTTCTCTCTAACTACACTAGGTTGGCTGGAATAGATCTCTTTTAGAGATAAGCCCTCTCTTGCTAACAAGTTGTTAAACTAACCGCTGTGCTGTTCAAGTGCGGTAAAGAATATAATGTTCCTGATTTGCCTCATACATTGCCATTCCTGAGGACTAGCTTACAGGACCAGTACAGTTTAGTAAATAAATATCTCCAGTCGTAGACCTTGTGCAAAAGTCACCTGCTTAGTTACCTCTAACCCACGTGTCTCTTCCGTGAGCTATGCTTTCATGGCTGTATTTTGATTTAAACGTTAGATATGACAATAAAATTACATGGTAGGAAAGCATAAAACCATAGACCTTAACATAGGACTCGTATGGGGGATACCATTGGGTATCATTATTCTGTGATGTCTATGGAGTTGTATTAGCCTCTTTTATTGGGGGATTTTGCCAATTGTTGCCACGCTTGGCTGGAGGGTTGGCAATCGCAGTCAGGCTTTGGATGTTATAAGAAGGGCGCTGCTGCCTATCTCTCGATCATAATTTCTCTTAGTCGCCTCTTATGACATTCTAAGCATCATAAAACATCTTTTTCAGCTCGGCTCATTTTGTCTATCCAACATGGGCTTCATTTTCCCTGCCTTTATCGAGCTAAGCTTGGTGTGGGAGGAGCCAGGTCTTGGTGTTATGAAGTGGCGTCTCTGGAAATTTATCATCATATTCATATTTGGAATGATTCTATGCATTGTGGGCACATATACAAATGCCAAGGAATTAATCAAGGACGTGTTTTATAAAAATAAATAGTGTGAAAATAAATTGATTGACCTATACCAATTTGATTGTGACTGCTTTTAGTAAAGCAAGTGTTTTGTACATGTAATATTAAATATAAACACCAGATTACATTGTTATTTCTTAACTTTCTTTTTATTTTATTTTGATAATAAATTTTGTTATTTTAAATATTGTTTCTTTTATTATAATCATTAGCATTGCTTGTTATCGTCTTACTGTTATGACAATGAATTGTACAGGTATCTAATCTCGAGAAATATCAATTAAAAAGATATTTTCACAAAATCTCAATGTAACGACATGGAACATCAAAATTAATATTTTACCTTCATAAACCGCAAGTATGTATCATCATACGTATGATGGGGATTTTACTTTATGAAACTGTTAACTATATTTTGTAGTTTTATTCTTTCTTGTACAGAGTACGTATCCGTTTTCTTTTCATGTTTGCTTTGCTTAGTATTTCTATATCTGTACTAATTTTTTCATACATGCATTCAAACTAAAAAATAGGTCGAAGCATTTGGCGTTCCACTGTTTTTGCCTACCCTAATGGGAGACAGACGTGACAAGTATGTATGTATGTATATTGAAAAGTCAAAGTTTACAATTTATGTAAATAATTTATTTCAATTTTTTTATACAAAAGGATGGCTGCACTTTGATGCCTCTGAACAGCATACGCCATCTGTTGACAAAAGAAATAACCACTTTAAATGCCACATAATTAATAAGAGTTGGCTTGAAAGATTGCTCTCAGCAATAAGACTACCTTATTGTACTTATATATTTGTACAATTGTATCGTTATATTTAACGATACAATTGTACGAATATGTTAATTGTCTTGCTTATTTCCTATATTGTCCACGTTGTTATTGTAACGTAAACCTAGTCGATTACAAAAAAAAATATAGAATAGGAACTAGTTATTCCCATTGTTATTGTGTTAAATTTCTAGCGCCTTTATGATGTGTTGACTGATTTGACTTCATTTTTACCTATTATCTTGCACTGGTATTCCACCAGAGTATAACGATAGCACCTCTTCTTTGTCATTCTCTTTGCATCCCACAAGAAATTTTGTAGGATGCAAATGTCGGAATTACCTGTGAATATCCAACCTCACGTAGACATGCCCATTAGCGGAGTTATTGGTGACAAGATCTGACCGGAGCCTCTCACTTACAGCCGATAAACAAGGCCACAAATGATAATCCAAGTTCCCTGGACAAAAACATGAGGGTAACTACCAATATAAAAACATTAAAGCTTCAATTTCTGAAACCATCCAATAAACGCGGTGCTAAGCATAGATTACATTTCACAGTGTAACGAGAATGACATACAGTCAACCCATCTGATGGAAAATGGTAACGGTTGTCTATAGACATGAGCAGCACCATGGATATGACGAAATACATTGTAACGCCCATAGTACCCCACATACACTACCATCCCTGAGAACTATATTATACCTCTGTAATTTCAATAGCATTGATACCTTCAAACCGTAACACATTTAAAATATAAGCACTGCAAATGTTTGGCGGCAGAAATAATGGAACCAAGGTACTGAAGCAAACGTTTTTTACATAGTCTTTTTCTAATTATTGTCGTTAAAATATGAGATAATCAAATACCGGCATCTACAAGATCCGTCCACAGCACCGCTTCTCTGCCTTCTATTGTAAATACTTCATTATTCTTCCAAGATTCCATGTGCCATGTTCTAGATAAAGAAGTACTAATCAATTACTAGATAAATATCAAAATTGCTATCCCCGCTTGTCTTATTGGCTGCCCACTGACAGAATACCAGTAAATGATGATAGGTGAACATTATGTCAAATCAGTTAGTCCATCGGGATGGATTTAACAAGAATTCACCACAATGAATTAGAATTCATCTTAGAAGATGGTGATAAATTTGAAAGGGTATATTGCTGGCAATGGTTCCGTTAGAGCTCTTTGCCCGACTGCTTTATGCCCATACGGTCCAAAATGATCGTTCTACAGCGATGCGGAAAAGACAAATGTCTATGCTTTTGGCTTGAGCATATAACCAAATGTTTCTTCTGCACTACTCAAGTATGGTTTATGAAAATCGGATCGATAGCTCTTGTCAGGAAAAGACTAATGGTCCCTTATTCAGGGAGATTGGAGTAGTAATTCCGGAGATTAGTGCATTTTGAATTTGCTTTTTAACTTCTGTCAAAATGGCCACCTATGTCCGATTTGCCCGGAAATATTCATCTAACTTATACTACCTCATTGGCTGATCAGGTCGAAAAATAAACAAGACTTCTGGATGCCCCAATCCGATTTAAAGGGATTGGGATGAACAGAGAACGTATGTACCAACGAATCCTCACTCGGGGTAGTCCGGACTAATAGTTCTGAGTTTTTTTTTTCTACTGATATTTATTTAGCTTTTATACACGTTATACATAAAGTACATAATATGACGGACATGACACCTGGCTGTGTTATATACCTGTCGACCATGAATACTGTAGAGAATGTTGTTGGCGATGTAAATGCGAAACAATTAACTAGATATTAGTACAAGTATTAATAACTTACAAAAACTTATGTACAGACATATACATGCGTACAAATACTAATACATACACGTTCATATACACGTATGTATACTAACATATATGAGTAATACAACATTACATAGAGCATTACAAAGAAACAGAGCTACCTCATTCTATGTAATATTAATATGGGACCCATACTGGAATTAACGTTATTTATTGTGAAAAGAATATATAAATAGGTTCAGAATTGGTGAATACCTTACATAGACAAACTTTTGGTAGTCGCTTAAAAACAATATATCGTTGATACCTCACCTCACCTGTATTTGTGACACCTCTGCTGGCTTATCTCACAGGACAATTTCCACTTACTCGAATGTATCACCCTAAATTTATTCAAAAAGGAATTAGAAGGGTTCGCTAGCCACTGGACAAGTTGCATTCCTAACCGATCCTAAGTTTTTGCTTCAAAATCCCTCATCAGATGCGTCGTGTACCATACCACTGGTAACTTCGACAGGAAACCTTGGTTCGCCAAATTTAATCCCTCTAAAGCTTTCTGCAAAAATCCTTCTCCCTCATCTATCAAATTACAACAATTAGATAAAGAAAATACACCATCGCCTACATAAAAATGTCATTTACTTTAGTCATTTCAATTATTTCAGTATAAATTGTTTGAAGCGTATCAAATATAGCTTTACTCATGTCCAATCTTAAGCATAATACATTATCACACGTAATCATTTTTTCTAGGACAGGTCACATCGTCTGACCAGGACCAAGATCTACCCACAGGTCCTGAAGCAATTACTTCCAGCAATACCCTAATTCCAGGAATTTTAGCTCTATTTACTAAAGATTTAACGTTTTATTTGTATACACCAATTTCCGGTCATATGCTCCGTATTAAAAAAATTGAGGAAGCTTTTGTAACATCAATGGAAAACTAGTCACATCTGAAATTCTCCAGTGAAAGGTATTTAGCTTAACAATCGCCATTGCATCTATTGTTCTCATCAAATCTGGTGCGTGTATAATTTCTTACTGTGTCTATCATTAGTCCCCTTTATTTGTAACTGGGTGCATCATTTATTATTACATTCGACAGAGTTATTAAACGTTCTGTACTTTGATTAAGCAATACCAATTGACTCAAAGTTTCCAAGCCATGTCTAACACCGCAAAAGGACGCGCCTACAATTTTCCGAGTAATTATGACTTGATTGTGAATCGTTTCAACTTTAACAGCATAGGACTCTTCAGTACTCAGTCGAAGTTTCGGTTTTGGATCTGTTTCTACATCGATTTGGATGTTTATTTTCTTCACGACAAAAACTTTGGTACGATTTTTTGTTTTTACTTGATTTTTTCTAATCTAGCCAAGTCGCGAAGAAATAATTTGAAAGCTTCCGGCAAAGTATGGTGCACGTTTTCGGATGGCACTGATTGGAATTTGTACTCTAATCTGTTAGTAACTATAGTTACAATCGTTTTACTGAAATGTGTGTAATCTATTGGGTATGGCCATAATTGTAGCTCTAAACAAAATAGTATACATCTACTTAAAGACGCGAACATTGTACTTATGGTTGATTTATAAACTTTTTGACAGTAGCCATGCTGACATTCTCACGCCGTATTTGATAAGATAACCCTGCAAATTATATTAATTACATACATTTAATTATTTTATGTGTTTAAATGAGATTTTACAATCTTAAATCAACGAAAGAATTAAGTAATATTCTTACAAACCTTGCCACCTTCTGTCAATCTTTTTACAGAACTTTTCTTCTGATCGTTTATATATTATATAAAGGCATTGTTGTCAAAACTGTTATCAATATACTCAGCATCATTACAATCACTAGTATCAAGTATATTATCCAATTGAAATGTAACTTCTGAAAAAAATCCCTAACGTTCCCTGACCCCCAAAAACAGTTAATCTGTTAATATAGTTATTTCTAAATCTATTTTTCGTCGACGTAAAATCGATTTCATTATCTTATATCGTAAAATATCTACCTTTAAAATTAGGTATCAATAACTTTACAGTATACATTTCGATCATTCTTAGATCACAGTTAAATAACGTACCTCTCCTACAGCTACAAGGAAGTCTTATACTATTGAAGACTTAGAATAGCATTGTCTATGCACATAAACAGTATCATAGACGTCACAGGATATACTGTGATACACATAACACTCCTATGCGTTGGACTATGATATTATATTTTGTCTAGAAATATGATCTTATGCCTTCGCACTTTGTAATTTCACTGATATTAAATAACTTACAAATTATCTTTCGAAGATCAATTAGACGATTTATAGCAATCTCCTTTGATTTAGTAGAGTTATTTATACATGAACCTTACGTAATTATTGTGTGTTTTTTTTTAATGGATGAAAATGGAATGGTAACCCCGCCTGCGCTATCGATATACACCGGCGGAGCACGAGTGAAGGATGATAGGTGAGGATGAAGCAGGTCAGTTAGCCCATCGTGATGAATTCAACAAGAATTATTCACGATGGTTTCCAGGGGGAACCACGTGGAGGTCGACCTAATAGGGCATATTGCTAGCAATGGAGCTGTCAAACTCCATTGCTAACAATCCCTTTCCCCCCAATTATTATACGTTTTGTGTGTAAACAAGAAATATTACTAGAGAGAGACTTTGTATAAATGTCGTCTGCTGAAGAAGTACCCAACCTATAGAATAGAAGTAATCTATCCCATTCTTATCTCTGCTGTGAAGCAGTTGTGTTTGTATAGCTGTTTCGACTAGAAGGGATACGGCAATGAAATTACAAAGCATAACACCTTAGTCCTCAGGAATAGCAACGCATGAAAGGTATCATGGGTGGCACAGCACTGTCTGTTATGTCCATGGTACTGTTCATGCCTATAGGCGACGGTTACCACTTTTTATCAATTAGGCCGTCAGCTTGTTTGTCATTCTTTTATTTTCATTTACAAGTTTCCTCTTGTCGGTGCAACTAATTCACCATTAGTTGCTTTTTATAGGATTATAGAGTAGTAGTCTCCCATTTTGCGTTCTGCACCGCAGTTCAAAGCACCAATATGTCGCCCTCTGGCTAGAAGTCCTTCTAGAAGTTTCTTCTTCGGCCTTCGACCAGTACTGTTACGGCGGGGGAAAGAGATTGTTAGTAATGGAGACTAAAAATCCCATTGCCAGCAATATACCCAACCAGGTCGACCTCCTCGTGGTTCCCCTTGGAAACTATCATGGTTGATTTCTGATGAATTTATCATGATGGGCTAACTGGCCTGTTTTCATTCTCATCTATCACCCTTCACTGGTGCTCCGTCAGCGTATCCCGTTAGCGCAGGCGGGGTTACCATACCATTTTCACGCATAAAAAAAAAGTACTGTTACGGCTACTACCTCAAATCAGTGGAAAGCTTATTTACTGATGGTATTCATTTGCCATGTCATAATATAAAAAAAATATTCTTTTTATTGAAACTAGAATTATCCTACTGTTATTGAATATCGTTTTGTTTTTATCATCGTGTATCGCTATTTTTTTATTTACAGCGACATCTAGTGATACGCTATAGAACTATAACATTCAATACAATGCACACAAACAGTACAGTTGTTATCACTAGATGGAGTTATATGTTTTATTAACTGAATTATAAAAAAAAATATAATAAGTATGTACTTTATCACATATTTTATTTATATATAAGATACATAAGGTTTGACTATTTTCTTGAAGCATCAAAAAGTTTTTCTGCGTACATAAGGTCTCTGGTTCGGTACTCAGACAAACTGATGTTTGAAGACGGCTAAGAGGAAAATAAAATTGACACACGAACGAAATCGCAGGTGACAAGTATTGTATAATATCGTAACAATTATATAAACCCAAGACAATTTTAAGCATTTTTCCGACCGAGAATTGCATATGGGTGGTAAACACTTTTATATGCATTTTTGAATAGAATATCTACATACAAATGCTTCGAGAAAAGCGGGTTAACTTTTTCATACAATTTTGCGTGATTAATAGTTGAGTTATTCCATTATAACTTCTATATTTATTTTGTTTTATAATTTCTAAATCTTTTTAATTCGTAAAAACTGATTTTATTTATTAAATAATACATCAAGATACGTTGTGTGCGTAAGTATATAGAACTTTGATAAAAAAAAAACGAGTCAATTAATTTGACAATTAGCTGACAAAAAGTTGATCCGTTTTTGAGGCTCGATGCTCTATCTATATAATCTATGGATATGTAATATAACTAAGTTAGTAGAATCAGTGGAACATTTTAAAATGGCTCAATATTCATAGTAACAGCATTGGGTTTTACAAGAAAACAATTAAATCTTTAAAAATTCCATCCAATCCGTTACCAGGTAAAACTTTGCAAGCTTCCGTACTCGCTAAAACCGCAAGTGTGGGGAAATTTTATGCAACTTGGAATAGCAAAACAAGTTCACGACTCACCCGACAGAAAGTGGTAATTGTGACGTCCATGATGGCCCTAACGTGTTTCTATTCCTGGGGACTACGATGTTATGCCTGTTATTTATGTTGTTTCATTTGCTACCATATCCTTCAAACCAAAAGACATCTTTTCAAGTAGAGCTACACTTTAAAAGTAAACATTCAGAAATATTGAAAATTATGAAAAACTTTCTTTTTTCTTATACCCAAGTATATATGCGACCAGTCAAGGACAGATGTGTTGTTTGCAAATAATAACAAAAGGGAGAACATCACGAGTATTGTTATTTTACATTTTATTGCACCATTTATAAAATAGTATTTTAACACTTAAATAATAATACATCTAATTGCCTAGCTATAAATATTTATTTATATATTTACACTAAGCACCAATTAAAAATAATAAATACACTTTAATGAGAAGTGATACAAAAGGCGACCTTATTGCTAAGCAATCTCTT